TTTTTTTTTTATTCGCATTTTCATTTTGCAGTGGTAACTGTGTTCCTTAACTTCTTAGCTGCTAAAGACACTCTGCACCTAAGTCCCCTGCTACCGCTGCTATCCCTACCTACAGTCTGAACAATAAAAAATAAAATAAAAATATAATCTTTTTTTTTTTTTTTTCTTCCCCCATTAATTTCATTTACTATACCTTAGCCTTTGCTATAAACACTAACAAGGAAAGATTGCTCCATCTCCTACATTTAGTTGCAATGCCAATCTTTTGTTCCTCTCTTGCAATACTTCTTACTTTATAATATAATATATATATATTCTCCAGCCCATGTGATGAAAATTCAGTAAAATACCGTATTTTGTTGGATAATCTTGTTGAAAATACAGTAATGAAAAAGCTTAAGGTTTTGGGTTTTTCCATTTTTGTTGTTTGCGTATTTTGTTGCAGTGGAGAAGATGAAAACGTGGGTGCTCTAATGGAGAAAACAGAGCAAGATGCTTTGTACTCTACCATTCAGGATTTTGTGGGCAAGTGGTGGAACGGGTCGGATCTTTATCCGGATCCTTGCGGTTGGACTCCTATTCAGGTGACTAATAAATTTTGATATGCAAAGGAGAAATATTAAAAAAAAACTCAGTATGAAGATGTTTGAGAGTTTTCACTGCATTTTGCTCTTTGTATTTGTAGTTTTCTTTTACTTGTTCTTTATATTATCATTATCATATTAATTTTTTATATTGATGTGAGAGATGTGAGTATATTGTTAAGACTTTATTATGCCCAAGAATCTGAGTGAAAAAGTGATACTTATGAAACTTTTTGGGATTTCCTATCAATTATGATTTATGAGGGTAGTCAAATCAGAATCAGAGTTTTAAGATAAAGAAAAGGCATAGGATAAATGCTTTTTTTCTGTTAAAAAAATGTGAAGCTTCCTTTTATTTTTGTTTTTCTTTCTTCTGCTTTCTGTAGTTATGTTTTTTCTATTATTATTATTATTATTATTATTATTATTATTATTATATTATTATTATTATATTATTATTAGTATTTTTTATTTATTTTTTTTATTATTATTTTTTTAAATGGGATTCTAAGCCAACAATAATGTAGCCATAATGCAACATCAGTGTCATTTTTCCCATGTTCTAATGAACTCCAAAAAAACTCTGTTTGGAAAGAGTGAAAATGCAAACAAATATGAAGAGAGCACTTGTGATTTTTGCAACTAAAGCAGACTTCAATTGCAGATTCTGTTATTACCAATAAATATTTGCTTGTTTGATTCTATTTTCAGGGTGTTTCTTGTGACCTATTCGATGGGTTTTGGTATGTGACCGAATTAAGCATCGGCCCCTTTCACGACAACTCCTTAGCATGCGCCCCAAATGTCCAATTCAGCCCCCATTTATTTGCACTAAGGCACCTCAAATCCCTCTCCTTCTTCAACTGCTTTGTCTTGCCGCGACATCATCCTGTCTCGATCCCTGCCGAGGGCTGGGAATCCATAGCCGAGACCTTACAGTCGCTCGAATTCCGGTCAAACAATGGCCTGACCGGAGAAATTCCGGTCAATCTTGGGGAGCTCACAAATCTTCAGTCCTTGGTGCTAACAGAAAACGGGCTAACGGGCGAATTGCCCGAAAGCATGGGTAATTTGGTCAACTTGCGGCGCTTGAATCTTGCAAGAAATTCGTTCTCGGGGAAAATCCCGGAGACTCTCGGGAGGCTCAAACACCTTTTGATTCTGGATATCGGCCAGAATTCACTCTCCGGGCTACTCCCGTTGACTTTTGGAGGGTTGACCTCACTGCTGAAGCTCGACTTGAGCAACAACCAGTTGACCGGAAAAATCCCACCGGATTTTGGGAATTTGAAGGAGTTGACACTCTTGGACATAAGCAACAACAATATATCAGGTGGATTGAGTCAATCACTTGAAGAAATGAAATCATTACAAGAATTAGTCCTTTCAAACAATCCCATTGGTGGGGACATAATGGGCCTTGATTGGACAAAGTTGAAGGGCCTTGTTGCTCTGGACCTGGCCAATATGAGCCTGGCAGGGGCCATCCCTGCCTCCATTGCTGTGTTAAGTGGGCTCAGATTCTTGGGCCTCAATGATAACAAGCTCACAGGGAGTATTCCCCGGAACCTTGCCCGTTTGCCTAACCTTAGCGCAATGTATGTCAATGGGAATAACCTGACAGGTCAGCTTGAATTTCCAGGGCTGTTTTACGGGAAGATGAGGTGGCGTTTTGGGGCGTGGGATAATCCTAATCTGTGTTATCCCGTGGGATTGATTAAATCAAGTTATGTGCCGTTTGGGGTCAAGCAATGTGATGAGGAGGAGGAGGTTATGAGATTTGAGGCTGGTCTGGATAATAATAATAAGGCCAAGTTGGGCCAAAATGTGAAATTGAAGAGTTCAGGGGCTGCTTTGCGTTTTTCGGGATTTGGTGGTTGTGGATTGGGTTTGTTGTTAGTTGAGGTGCTTGTGGTTCTAGTTTATAATTTTTATGTTTGATGAATATGTATTCTAGTTGACAGTCAGCTTCTGTGGTAGAACCAAATGCGTACTTTATTTTTGCTATCAAGTACATGGAGATATTGCTGGCATGGGCATTAACTTTGCTTTAGTGTTAAATTGTAACTAATCGAGGGCTTATTTTCCCATAGTAATTGATGAATAATCAAATATTTAATGAATAATTAACAAAGTATGGACAAAAGCTAATATGCTAAAAAAATAAATAAATAAATAAATAAATAAATAATAATAAGAAAGAAAATTTGTTTAGTACATTTGCCAGCCTAATATAATTGCTAAATATTACAATCATCCTTTCAGATACGTTTACACCAAGTCATTACTCCATTTGATGGAAAAATTCAACGTGCAGTCAGTCCTTAGGGGCTCTTGATTCCACACACACCGATGTGAGTGTGCGTGTGTTTGTGTGTAAATCAAGGGCTTCTAAGGGTTGATTGCAGCGCCCCTAGGAGCAGCATCGGATTAGCCCACATTTGAAGATGCCCCTAGGGGCAGTGCAATTAGCCTCTAGGGGCCCTTGATTTCACACACACTTATGTGGGTGTGTGTATTTGTGTGTAAATCAATGGCCCTTAGAGACTGACTGCAGTAACCTTGATTTCACACACCCATTTGATGGTGATTTTGGATAATTTTTTTCTTCAAAGACATTAGTAGTTAACTATAACAACGTTATAAGACCTTAAGAAAATCAAGAAACAACTGTTCTGTTTGGGCACAAGGTTGTCTCGAAAAACACTCACATTCACTAATTTCTTGCAAATTGCTATTAGCAGTCTCTGGCACTGTGCCATGGTTTTAAATGAGCTGAAAAGGAAAGAGCAACAACTAAAAGCCTGTAATTTTTTCCTAGTTGGCTGTATATATTTGCATTCCTGGATTTTTTTTCTGCAACACACACAGACACACACTAATGGCATTAAAATATGTGAAGGGCTCAAACACCACAGATCTATCTAGTTTGTGTACTGATCTGAAATGTGGTCCAACATTTTATTTTGGTTTTAATTTTGTGGTCCATTTGGTAATGAAAAATTGAGTGATGAATGTAAGAGAGTTTGCAGTATTGATTAATTCTTCATATTTCTGGAATTTTCTTTTCTTATGCTGTTGATATATTTTGTGTCTCTGGGCATTACTGTGTTGTTTAATACTACCTCGTATTCTTTTTAAATGTCATTTTGGCATTATCAACTATTAATAAAATAAATGTCGTTTTGGATATTTTATACATATTTTTCCATTGTTACCCTCATTTAGTTAATAAATATCCTATGTCTTTTCATATTCACTATTCATCTTTTCTGAAAACATTTATCTCTATCCTTATTAATGAGGGTTATTTTTGGCAAAAATTTTTTTTTAATAACTGTACAACTTTTCAAAACGACACTTATTTTAAATAGGAGGGAGTATAATGTTCTGACCATAGGACCTAGCTTCGGCCAAAATACATAACTGTCAAACTTAAAAAAAGAAATTCCATAAAAAAAACTACGTAGAATGAATTTCAAAAAGACATAAAAGGAAGTTACACCAATAAAAAATTCACATTAATAACTACTCTCTTTCTCTCTCTTCCTTTATTTTTTCTCTCTTCCTTACCTTTTTTCTCTTTGTTATTTTCTTGGGCTTTTCTACAGTCAGGTACTCTTGTACTTTGGCTTGTACTTACCTAACAACAGGTACCTTTTAAATGAACGTCATGTGTCCTTTTCTTAATAAATAAAAAAATAAATCGAAAAAAAGCTTAATGCAAATACGAAAATGCCCTTACTTAAAAAAAAAACAAATTTACTTAAAAGGTGTTGAACTTTTGTAATATTAACATATGACCTAAACATAATTATATATCTCAAATAAACAAACAATTAATCCAATATTTCATTTCGAACGATCTTCTGCAAACAAGAAAACACTCACGAAGATATGATCGGAAAAAAGACGTTCTAAGATTTGACATTTGAAGAATAACACGAAGGTACATAATTACAAACATTTTCTGATTCGATATTTGAAGAACAACAGTATGTGAATTTTGTTTTCAATTTCTTCTTCTTTATTTCGATTACTGTCCAATCATGCGGTAATGCACATCCATAATTTCGCTGTGCATCCGTGAGTTATAAGACATTGATACGAATAATGTTGTAATGTGAATTTGTATTTGCTAATATTGATAATTCATTATTTATGCTTCTCATAAAGAAGCGCAATAGATGTTTGACGAAATGTCTGAAGGGACTATGCAGTCGCAAAAGGTTAATCTATCATGAGGATGCTCGTCAATTCAGCAAACGTAATGGATTGATGGAAGGTTGTTCGTTTTCATTTGTGCTTCAAGGAGGATATCAGCTGGTGTTTAGGATTATTATGTAGTTGATGTGACCGGTATAAACTATTCTATTTTGTCTTTCTAAATTAATGAATGATGCTGTAATTTTATTTGGTGTGTGTTCTGGATAGTGATATGTTTATTATATCACATGGAAACTTTTGAATTATGTTGCATATTCCATTGAACATGTTAAATTTTTAGATTAACATGTCACATAGTAAGATGAATTTTTTCTATAATAAGCTGAACATGTTGCATATACCAAGATGAACATTTTGCATTATGTGATGAATATGTTGCATAATACATTGAACATGTTACATAATGCGATGAATTTGTAATATAATAAGATCAATATGTGCAAAATATATTCAACATGTTAAAAATTAAGATGAACTTGTTACATTACATAATAAGATGAATATGTTCTATAATAAGATGAATACGTTACATACATAATAAGATGAACATTGTACATATACTAAACTGAACATGTTGCATGATGAGATGAATATGTTTCGTAATTCGTTGAACATGTTAAAAATTAAGATGAACTTGTCTCATTACATAATAAGGTGAATATGATATATAATAAGATGAATATTTTGCATATACTAGGATGAACATGTTACATAATAAAATGAATATGTTCTATAATAAGATGAATACGTTACATACATAATAAAATGAACATTTTACATATACTAAACTGAACATGTTGCATGATGAGATGAATATGTTTCGTAATTCGTTGAACATGTTAAAAATTAAAATGAACTTGTTACTTTACATAATAAGGTGAATATGTTCTATAATAAGGTGAATATGATATATAATAAGATGAATATTTTGCATATACTAGGATGAACATGTTACATAATAAGATGAATATGTTCTATAATAAGATGAATACGTTACATACATAATAAGATGAACATTTTACATATACTAAACTGAACATGTTGTATGATGAGATTAATATGTTTCGTAATTCGTTGAACATGTTAAAAATTAAGATGAACTTGTCTCAATACATAATAAGGTGAATATGATATATAATAAGATGAATATTTTGCATATACTAGGATGAACATGTTACATAATAAGATGAATATGTTCTATAATAAGATGAATACGTTACATACATAATAAGATGAACATTTTACATATACTAAACTGAACATGATGCATGATGAGATGAATATGTTTCGTAATTCGTTGAACATGTTAAAAATTAAGGTGAACTTGTCTCATTACATAATAAGGTGAATATGATATATAATAAGATGAATATTTTGCATATACTAGGATCAACATGTTACATAATAAGATGAATATGTTCTATAATAAGATGAATACGTTACATACATAATAAGATGAACATTTTACATATACTAAACTGAACATGTTGCATGATGAGATGAATATGTTTCGTAATTCGTTGAACATGTTAAAAATTAAGATGAACTTGTCTCATTACATAATAAGGTGAATATGATATCTAATAAGATGAATATTTTGCATATACTAGGATGAACATGTTACATAATAAGATGAATATGTTCTATAATAAGATGAATACATTACATACATAATAAGATGAACATTTTACATATACTAAGCTGAACATGTATGAGATGAATATGTTTCGTAATTCGTTGAACATGTTAAAAATTAAGACGGACATGTCTCATTACATAATAGAGTAATGCTGCATAACCAACCTAGTGTACAACTAGGTTGACAACACAAGTGTAAACACTCATAAAATTAAAAATAAAAAAATACACAAGTGGATGTTTACACTTGTGTTGTCAACCTAGTTGTACACTAAGTTGGCAATGTAGCATTTTTATACATAATAACATAAATAAGATGAATATTTTATATAATAAGATGAAATTAATGGATTGATGAAAGGTTGTTCTTGTTAATTTGTTTTGTTTGCATTGTTGCAATGTTATCCAGAATTAGAAGTCAACATTTTGAAATGATATAGGTTAGTACATAATAGTGCTGTCAATCTGTCACGACGGGCTAAAAAAGACTGATAACTGAAAGAAGCTTAACCTTATGAGAGAAGAAGGGCATAGTTGTTGTTGCACAATGTTAATAAAGAGTGGCAAAACATGAAATGAATGGGTGTACATAGAACAAATAATCTGTCACACTTTGGTATCTTCTTTATTCACACTGTCTTACAAACGTGTGAATGTCTTCAGTGCCCTTGTCCTGACTGCCATTTGGAATGCAGAAGTCACTGTCGTTTCCAACTTCATATTGTGATGGTTTGCTACTCATTGTTTTTAAGTGACATTTGGTTGACTTATCCCTGAGGTCGGTGCAAGTAAAAAATATTACATAAAATCAGTTCAAAAAAATTTAAGGTACTAAAAATTTGTTAATATTCATATATTAACAATATTATGTTGTATAAAAAGTTAATTCATACGAATTTTCTTGTTTTGTTTATACCGTAATCGATATCATGTGCAACACATACAAAAAACGTAATAACCACACGAAGCATTCCATTATATAAAAAATGTCTCATAATTTCCTCACAATTAACGGTAATTTTTAAGCTGCAAATGACTGTTAAACGTCGACATGATGGGTCATAATAGTACGTAAT